TCTGACAGTTTTTGAGGTGAAAAAAACGGATTTTTTGAAAAATATAAAATATTTAAAAAATCGCGGCGGCACCAAAAAATTGAGGCGGGCGGCCATGTAAAACAATTTATTAATTTTAAGTGGCCTAAACAGCCACAAACACAACCCACCCTAACAGCACTGTTTGAACAACAGCGGAAATACAGTGCCAAGTCACCAAAGGCACAAAAGCTCAACAGGGCTGTTGCCAAGTACGTGTGTATGGACCAGATCCCTGTCTACACTGTTAAAAATATTTTATTTATTTTACAATGTTAATGGCCTTTTTTCTATTTATTAGGTTTATTTTTTCATTGTATTGTTTATATATATTTTTTTTTTTGGTGGTGTTCTGACTTTATTAAAAAAAAAAAAAGTTCCTGTGTTTGTTTTTTCTCCCCCTGAAGTATCGAAAATAGTATCGAGCACCATCCTTAGTATCGGTATCAAATTTGAAATTTCAGTATCGTGACAAGCCTAATACACACACACAAATATATATATATATATATAGTTGAGAGCAAAGCTTGCGATAGAAGCACAAGGTCAACCATTTATCCAGCATTTTGGGGGTTAAGGGCCTGACAGACATTTGGCTCTGGACAGGATTCAAACCAGCAACCACCTGATCACAGTCAGAGGCCCCTTCCAATCTTTCATGGAAATAAATTTATTCAAAGAAAAACAAATCCTTTATAAAGAAGAAAATATTTTCAACATGTGCCACAATTATTGGCACCCCTGCATTTTTTACTTTGTAAAACCTCCCTTTGCCAGAATAACAGCACTGAATCTTCTCCGATAACATTTTATAAGGCTGGAGAATACAGAGCAAGGCATCAGAGACCATTCCCCTTTACAGAATCTCTCCAGATCACCCAGAATCACTCCAGATCACCCTCTCTTGTGCACTCTCCTCTTCAGCTCAGCCCACAGGTTTTTAATGGGATTCAGGTCAGGAAACTGAGGTGGCCATGGCAGAAGCAGGTCTCGGCCTATCATTTTAGGCGCAATGTTTCACCATTACCCTCTTATCCACTCACATTTTCACGTTTTATTCTTGCACCAACATGCTCTCGATAAAGAGATACTTATACTTACCAATGACTGTCAAATTAACGATGTAATACTGTAGCTGTTGTATTTCATCCAGTTGACTTTCAGCCTTGTATTCACCATTATCATTATAGTTGAGGTTTGCAATCGTAAGGTGACCAGTATTTGTGTTCAAGATGACCCGCTGCTGGAAATCCCTGAATGACTGGACTGGATCTGGCCTATTATACTCTGCTGCTTTGTCACCGTTGTGTTTCCAGAGGATGTCCTTTATAGTTCCTGTGACACCTGGTCGTAGTGTGATGTTTCCGTTAAGTTCACCATATATGACTGGGGTATCACCTGAAACCAATAAAAGGAAAGGTGAAAATGCAATTTCATACTTGAATATAATTTATTTAAATTATCATATCTTAAATGTAATAATAATCTGGGTTGTGGGAATGATGATTATGCCTGTTATGTAGTGACTGGCTGACTTGTAAGTTAATTTGGAAAAAAGCCTCTACTAAAAAATGCAATCTGACAAAACAGCCTGCGGTAAAGGTAGCCTTATATTCAATATTCAGATTTCTGGTTCAATATCTTTTAACAGATGCGAGCTATACAGTTTTAATGACAGATTTGTGATGTCCAGTACACAGACAATGATGCACACTGATTATGTTTGGAGTTCGAGCCATTCTACTCTTGTTGCAAAATCCTGTTATCAGCTATGAAAATAGGTTATTTCAGCTGTCTGCAACATTCAGAAATGGATGACAGTCCACAAGACGGCTTTCAAGCTTAATTGCAAACTTAACTTACTTAGAAACAAAAGAGACCACACTGATTCTAGAACTAAGAAAGGGCTTAAAGGAATCAAAAAGTAAGTACACAGATTTTTTACAGGGACCATCTTACAGCAAACACATTCAATACCTGACAAGGGAACAGAGGATAGACAGCGATTTATGAAGAACTAGGGACTAAGACGCTAGGAGACACAAATTAGGCACAAGGAAATATTCAGTCAAAGTATACATACTCGGGCTGTGCAATATGACCAAAATCTCAATATAGGTTATTTCATATCCCAATAACGATACATATCATGATATAGCACATCTTCTGTAAATTTAATGAATAAATAGGTAATATAAAATGACCACATGGAAAGACCTATTTATCACAGTGTGGGCCTGTTCCCCAGACCGGGGTTGGCCAGGAGAGGTCAGCCCAGACCTGTCCCCTTCTGTGGCCCAGGGAGAAGAAACCCCAGTTCCCTCAAGTTCCAGCCCTGCAGTCCCAATGGTGTTCTTCTGCTCAGCATCCCTGGTGGCACGTTCTTGTCCCAGTCTAGCGAGTCCCTCGGCGCCCTCTTATCCCTGTCCTGTAGTCTCTGTCACCCTTCTACCCTGCAGGACCCGTGACACCCACTGACTCTTGTTCCGATTCCCGTCTTACAGTCCCCTCAAGAACATTTACCAATACTATGAATGTGTTGCACTGCATGTCATTTTAAATGGTGCATCAAAATTTTGTGCTGGTGCTCCTAAAATTCAGCAAGGAATACCAGTGCTACAAGTGGAAAAAGGTAGCCTGGCATCCTTATTTGTAAAGTTCAGCATGCATCACCTGTCCAATTTGTACCTTGCACCTCTGCACATGCATAGCATTACTCCTTAAGACAACATTTCCCAAAAACATAGTTGCTAACAACGCTAGCAACTTAAATACTTAGAAAGGTTCCAGTTATGCAAGTTGCTAATAAGAGTTTTTGGAAATATATTTCCTGTTAACATTTCTTTTCACAACAAGAAGTTAATTTTACGGATTGCTTTTGAGCAATCTCCACTAACCCCGAATGGAATATTCAGCTAGACATTAATAACAATTGCTTTCCTTCAACATCACTATGTAATTATGGCAGTAGTTCAAATTATAACAAAAGAAAAAGGTCATTTTTACACTGTCTAAGGTTTCAATAGCGTACCACAGCAGCACTAGCACACACAGGCTCTATCCTAGACCACCAGAATAGGCAAAACCACTTCACAATTCATTCATGTTTATTAAATTACCATTAGTATTGTAACATGCACAGCGAGCACACACAGATGAGGCATGTACAACATGTATGTCAGAATGTAGTCGGCCTACTCATGCCTGTAACCACACCCTGGATTTGATTCTTAGCCATGGTATCCTGGTGGAACACGTATCTATTATCCCTCAGAATCCTCGACCCTCAGATCATTACTTGTTAATGTTTGAAATACAGTATAGCCTCCCTCCATAGTACAGTATCAGACGTTCCAGAGCCACATTATCTACAACAAGGTTTCTCAACCAACTTCCACAGTCCTTCAAACTTATATCTGAAGCCTTGTGCGAAAATTTACTTGAACAGGTATCTGTGAACATGGTGAAATCACTTCACAGCACTCTACCTCTTGTAGCTCCATTTAAGAAAATAAAGCATAGCAATAAGAAACCTGCCCCCTGGTATTCTGAACATACTCATCACTTAAACAGGCTTCACGCAAGCTAGAGCACAAATGGCACTCAACTAAACTAGAAGTTTTCAGATCTGCCTGGAAAGAGAGACTCTCTAAGTATAGACAAGCACTAGTGACTGCTAGATGTCTGTAACACTCCTGATTAATAGAAGAGAACAAAAACAATCCTAAATTCCTGTTCAAATCTGTGCCTAGGTTAACACTGAATTTGCGATGACTTTATTACATTTTTTATGGTAAAATAACTAAGATTAGACAGACCATCCAGTAAACATCTACAGCTACATATAGCTACCAGCCTTCTACTAGGCCTATTTGTACTGATGATGACACCTTTGAATCTTTCTTTCCTATAAAACAATCAGAATGTTTAAGTTTGGTTTCCTCCTGCAAATTTTCTACTAGCCTTGTAGACCCAATTCCTACAAAATTCCTCAATGAGACTGCACCACTGATTAGCACTACCTTGTTAAACTTGTTAAACTCGTCTCTTAGGCTTGGATATGTTCCAAGACCTTTTAAAATGACCTTCCCTAAAGAAACAAAATCTTGAACCTAGTGATTTAGGAAAGTATAGACCTATCTCAAATGTTCCTTACATTTCAAAGATCTTGGAAAAAGTTGTTGTTCATCAGCTGTCTTCTTTTCTACAGAAAAATAATGCTAATGAATTATATCATTGTAGCTTTAGACCAACCATAACACAGAAAGAGCTTTTATCAATAATGAGTAATGAGTGATTTGCTTATGGCTTCTGACCATGGCTATGTATCTTTGTTTGTATTACTAGATCTAACTGCTACATTCGATACCATATATGGATCATAATATTCTCTTGGACCGGCCAGAATCTGTGGTTGGCATTAAGGAGACAGCTCTCTCTTGGTTTCACTCTTATTTAACTGATTGTTATCAGTTTGTCCACGTGAACAATGAATCTTCCAAGGTCACCAAAGTCAAATATAGTGTCCCATAGGGCTCAGTGCTAGGCCCGCTACTGTTCACTTTATATATATGCTACCACTTGGTAACATTATTAGAAATCATGGTGTTGGATTTCATTGTAATGCAGCTGCCTCTGTTAGAAGACTGTCTACTAGATATTTGGTGTTGGATGGCAAAAAAAATCATTATGTTCAACACAGAGAAAACAGAAATACTGCTAGTTGGTCCCGAGGCTGCTTGAAATAAGTTTGACAACCTCAACCTCTGTGGTCTTCCTACTCAGTGTAGTACAGTGGTCAGAGATCTTGGTGTCCTGGTTGATTCAGACTTATGTTTGATGTGCATACAAGAAGTATTACTAGAACTGCGTTCTATGGAACATAGCTAAGATAGTGAAGATATTCTCCTCTCATGATGCAGAAAAACTAATACATGCCTTTATAACTTTCAGACTGGACTACTTTAATACCCTTTCTGGTTGCCCATCCAGATCCTTACATAAGCTTCAGCTAGTACAAAATGCAGCAGTCAGAGTTCTTACAAACACAAAAATTTGATTATATTAGCCCTGTTCTATGCTCCCTTCACTGACTTCTAGTTTAATCTCAGATTGACTGCAAAATACTGCTATTAACTTATAAAGCACTGAATGGCCTTGCACCAGAATACCTTAGAGATCTACTAGCCTCTTACAACCCTCCTTACTTGCATCAATCTCAAGGAGCAGGACATCAATTAGTACCCAGGGTAGAAAGATCCACAGCAGGCTGTAAGACTTTATCTTATAGAGCTCCCCAGCTGTGGAATAGTCTTCCAGCGGATGTGCGAGATTCAGGCTCACTCTCAATGTTCAAGTCCAGACTGAATATTTATAAAATGGAATTACTGTTGAGTGTGTAAGCCGCCATGTTGAAATGACGTCACAGGGGAAACTCGGACAAGAAAATTCTGTCCGAAATCAACGTGATAAAAGAGGCGTGTTTCCGAAGGGAAGTGATTTCAACACGATGACTCGCCATCCATCCTGTGGCTGTGTGTCTATTAATCCTGCCATCGTGCATCAAGCACCACATGCCTGCACCGGTCGGCCGCTGCATTGAGACATATATTTCAACCCCTGTATTAGCTTAGTCATTTCATCTTGTCTGTATTAGCTTAGTCATTTCATCTTGTTGTTTGACTCATCTGCCGGCCCCTGGAGGATGGGCTCCCCCTTTGGGTCTGGTTCCTCCCAAGGTTTCTTCCTCTTAGGGAGTTTTTCCTTGCCACCGTTGCCTTTGGCTTACTCAACTTCTTACGAGGCAGAAATGTAAAGCGCATTGAGACAATGTAATGTTGTGATAATGCGCTATATAAATAAAATTGAATTGAATTGAATATCTTTCGTGATGTTTCGTGACGTTTTCATCTGAGTTCCGACTCATGTGTTCGAATGGTGCATTCGATTATCTCTCGGAACTCGGAAATTCTGAGGTGAGTGACATCAAGTCTGACAATCTCCCGCTCGAGCTACCACATCTCGGAACAAACATGGCTGCCTCTATGAACACGCTGTTTTGTGTTGTTGCTTATACAGTATCTTAGCAGATTTGGAGTGAGATATTTTCGAGAGGTATACAAACAAGTGAAACGAACTAGTCAAACCATATTAAAAGCTTTTAAAAATATTTTAGTACATTCATAGCGATATTCTTTTTTCGAGAGGCAAACACACTACAAACAAACGAAATACACTAACAATGAATCTGATATTGCATGCTAGGATACTGTTACGGTCATGATATGGTATTCTCTAAATCGAACACATGCAATTACATTTATGACTATTAATGCACTTAACAGAATAAACATTTTTAAATATTTATAAAATAAAATTACTGTTGACTGTGTAAGCCACCATGTAGAAATGACGTCATATGGCAAGCCGTTTTAACATTTAATCAAGTTACACTCCTATCCGTAATTACATTTTAGATATTCACAATAGTCTTTCTCCTAGTCAAAATTTGTATTCTTCCTAGTCAAAAAGAACATTTCAGATATCCACATCGTCATTCTTCCTAGGAGAAATTACGTCCCTTTTACAACCCCCTCTTTCTGCATAAAGCAGTGTTGGAACACACTGTGGTATCAGGAACACACTGTGGTATCAGGAACACACTGTGGTATCAGGAACACACTGTGGTATCAGGAACACACTGTGGTATCATACCCTCGTGAGCATCAGTTGAACAGTATTGTACCTGCAGAAAGTAGTGTGTTGCTACAAAAATGGTGAGAAAAAGGCAATTATCAATGAAAGAGAGACCGACCATCATAACACTTAAAAATGTAGGTCTTTCCTACAGAGAAATTGCAAAGAAAGTCATGGTGTCAGTGAGTAGTTTCCTTCTCCATCAAAAGGCATTCAGAAACTGGGGCAAACTCTGACAGGAAGAGGTCTGGCAGACCCAAAGCCACAACTGCATCAGAGGACAAGTTTCTGAGAGTTAACAGCTTGCGTGATAGGCGGCTCACAGGATCACAGCTTCAAGCACAGCTTAATAGTGGTCGTAGTAAGCAAGTCTCAGTTTCAACTGTGAAGAGAAGACTTCGAGCTGCATGTTTGACAGGACGAGTTGCAGCAAGAAAGCCATTGCTAAGATGTCAGAATAAGACAAAGAGGCTTGCCTGGGCCATGAAACACCGCCATTGGACTACTGAAGACTGTAAGAAGGTATTATGGACTAATGTATCCAAATTTGAAATCTTTGGTTCATCACGCAGGATCTTTGTACACCGTTGAGTAAGGCGAAAGGATGGTTCCACAGTGTGTGGCATTAACTGTCAAACATGGAGGAGGAAGTGTGATGGTCTGGGGTTGTTTAGCTGGATACAGGGTTGGTGACTTGTACAGAGTGAGAGGCACCCTGAAGCAAAACGGCTAACACAGCATTCTGCAGTGCTATGCAATAACCTCTGGTATGTGCCTAGTTGGTCAGAGGTTCATCCTATAGCAAGATAATGACCCAAAACATGAGTCCAAACTATGCCAGAACTACCTCAGGAAAAAAAAACAAGATGGTAAGCTTTGAAAACATGGAGTGGCCAGCACAGTCTCCAGACAAACCCCATCGACCTGGTTTGGGAATAACTGGACAGAAGAGTGAAAGCAAACCAACCTACAAGTACCACACGTTTATGGGAACTTCCACAACAGATATGGGAAGAACTTTCCGAAGAATATTTGATTTCTATTGTAGAAAGAATGCCACGAGTGTGTTCTGCTGTTATATCTGCCAAAGGTGTCTACTTTAATAAGTCAAAAGTTTAGAATACATTTTGGTCTATAAATTCATTCCATGATTTTTTTTTTACTCCAATTGTTTATTTGTACTATGCGTTCATTTCAGAGTGCAATGAAACATCAAACTGCATAATTTTCAATAAAAAAAAAAAAAAACGGGAAAAATTGGAGTGTTCTAAAACTTTTGACCAATAGTGTATCTGAAATGGGAGTTTTTCCTAGTAAGAATTCAATTGCAGATATCCAGGATGAACATTCTGGATATCTGAAATATAATTGTGGATATCTGAAATTTAAAGCCCAATAGACATGAATGGCAAAAGTGACGTGATTTCTCCAAGGAAGAATGACGATGTGGATATCTGAAATGACAGTTGTGGATACGAAGAATGCCATTGTGGATATTTGAAATGCTATTTTTGACTAGGAAGAATTGAATTAGAGATATATCTGCAATACATATTGAGGGAATAATTAATAAAATAAAGGGAATGATTCTATAAGGCTGTAATTAGTCAAAACAAGAACTGACTGGCGCGCCGGCAAGCCAAGGCTACCTAATCGGAACAGATAGGGGGGGCGACAGAGAACATCAGCGGCCCCTACTTATCTTTTAGCCTTCCAGAAGGCCAAGAACAGTACGAGCCGGCTGGAACCACACATACTGTATGGTTGTCACGTACACGGAAGGTACTGAGAAAGGGGGGGGGGATGCCCAAAGGGC